CATAGTCCACCCATGGTTCCTACATGGGATCACTACGAATGAATCGACCAAATTTTTCACGCGTTCGAGGCGAGCGATGTCCGAGGCCATTAATGATTAGTACGACTGCAGGGCAAGGGTCCGACAAGAGCGTAGAAAAGAGTACGAAGAGACATGGGTCACGGCAGACATGAACCACAAGCGAACGCGAAGCACAAAGCCACAGTACAGCAGTAACTTCTGAACAGGAACGAGTCAGGCGTGTACCATACGACTCGCGTGACATCTACGAATGGCGCATCTATCAGTAATATGGTCACGATGACTTAAAATAGTACCAGTGCAACCGACTTAAAGATTTTATACTACGCGAGAGTCAGTCCACCAGAGAAAACCTAGTTAAACCTATTCTGAATTCTTAACTATAGTAATAGGGCTATTTATGTACTTCATAGTTAAACACCTTAACTTTTTGTAAAAATAGGTTGTTAAATTTTAGTTTAGAAAAGGGTTTTGAAACTTTATTTCCTTATTTATGCTCTGATACCACCTGTGGCAGAACCCCTAATCTAATGCCTTCTAGGAGTACTTGTCTTCCATTAGACACTAAGTACTCAAAGGAGGACACTAAATTACGCAGTAATGTCGAGTACACCCCAAGGGAGAACCCAAAAATCCACATTTTTCCATCAGGATCACAAATGAGAGAATAAAGCTTACAACATTCTTAAATCATTTCTTGCATCACTTTCCATGCAACATCAGAGTATAATATTTATTAGTTTATAACAGCGGAAAATAACCATATTATCAGAGTTTCAGCGGAGATAAAATCATTTAATGACAAGTTAAACTTTAACATGATGATCCGTTATATCCATCATAACAGGTTATAAGTTTTTCCATTGAAAAACATTTTAGGTGGAAGTTTCAAATAAACTCTATGTCCGCAATGTTAAGGAAATCCTCATTGAGCCCACCAGGAGGTTTCCACACACAAGTGTCAGTTCCACATGTTCCTGTCACCTGCAACATGGTAGAACAAACCCTGAGTACTCAATTGTACTCTGCAAGACTTACTCGTCAGGAGGAAAGAAAAGACTCCAAGAATATGCAAGGCTATCTGGCTTATGGGTTATTACATCTGCAGGAAGCATTACTAAGCGTGTGCCCTTATATTCAATTTCATTAGCAGTCATCATTAGTTCGTTAACTACCATTTTATGTAAGCACATGTGCTACTTTCAAGCAGGTGGTAAGCAATCAGAACCATTTTTCCATCTTTCATATTCCAGTTCTTATTACGGTGCTAGATAATAGACAAGTCGTACCGGATTACCCGGCGATTCGAATCAATGTGCCCAGCTGGGTATCCTGAAACACACGTCCCGCTTGTACCCTAGGCACAAGCAGGACCAACCCACCACTCTCCTGTCAAGGGGTCCAGGTTCCCGTCCAAACTTGGACTCCAAGCCCCCACACCTAAGTCCTGAACTCAGTGTGGTGCTTGGACCTCCACCATCTCCGCCTCCAATCAGTCAGTCCGAAAAGAGCCGGAACCCACGACAAGAGAGCAACGAGCTTTTCCTGCTCCCATAAACAAGTATGTGCTCAGGATAATAAGTCTGTGACCTGCCTAGAACCCAATGCAACAGCTAGTCTTTAACCGACACGGGCGGAACAAATGCAATCCGAGCCTCACTCGAATGCCAAACCAAGTCCAGATCCAAAGTACCATTCCGCCCGGTCTCCAATTATCATTCATATATATTCTATGTGATAGTAATATAATAACAACAATAATATCTTTCCTATCTCTTGCGAGTGACAGGCAATCACTCGACTTCTACCGGAGTCCTATAGCATAGCAATCTACACGATCCTGTCATACTAATAAGACTCATAGGATAAGGATATATATATATATATGCAAGTGGGTTTCATTCAACTTCTTAAACTTAATGCACAAGCATAAAATAAAGTGTAGAATAATAGGGGTTATGTACCGGGGCTTGCCTAGGTAAGGTATAACCAAAAGTTAGCTTTTCATCATGGTGGCACGATCAGCAAGTCACCATCTGCTTCTGCTTCTCCAGACGACTCCGTGATCCAACGTTGCTCCTATCATGGTATTCATAGATACAACGCAAGAACGTAAATAACCAATCGGTAATTGCAGTGCCTACCGTACGATCTCGCCTCTACAACTAACGAGCTAGCTCCTAATGACTAACGCACTTCTACGTATCTAGGGGGACAAGTGAGGCTTCGTTTCCGGAAAATTGTTCTCGCTCGGCAAACCCCCAATTATTTTTACATTTGATTGATAAAATATATTTTTGTACTAAGGCTCATTTAGTTACCTTAACAAATTAATTCCTATGGAGCTACAGAATTTATAGTGAGCACATAATAATGCTAGGAATCTACTATAAAAATTTCAGAGCCAATGCTATTACCAATTCATCACAATAATTCCTACAAGTTTATGTTTTAACAATATTAAGCATCTCGAATTAATTAGATTACTCTTGAAAATTCTATGAAACTATATGAATAAAATACACTAGAAGATAGATCATGATTTTAGGAACCTAACAAAATAAGTTTCACAATTTTTAGATTCATGCAAGGTTTTATTTTGAATTTACAAGTTTGCCTCTAGCAATTAAATCAGAAAATGCTTTGGAAAAGAAGAAGGGCCGACAACCACCTATTCGGCCCAACAGCCCAGCGCGAACTCGGCACGTGCGCTGTGGCTGGCCCAACAACGGCCCAGACGAGGGAGCCCACGCGCGCTCGGCAGTTTTACAGAAATGGACATGCACTACTATATAATTGGGTTACACTGCTTGGCACTATTCCTAGAGACTCAGCTTTTGTACGTGGTCTTTGGAACATCCTATCTTTGCAATGGGGTAGCCCTCGACGTGCCCGTGCATGATGAGGCGGTTCCGGCCGGCATGGCCCAGTCACGCCAGCCCTCTAGGGCTTACGCAGACCCACCCAGGGGGTTGATCATGCTTCCAGACAAAAACGGCTGCGCTGGGCGACGGTTGGAAACCCGAAGGAACGCTGCAGTCAGCCAACCACGGTGGCGGTTGAAACAGTACGGTGCACGGCGGTGGCGGGGCTACTTCGACGAGCAAGAGCGATGACGAAGACAACCGAAAGAGGTGAGAGCAACAGTAGATTACCCCGAGCCGGTTCGCAGTGAAGGTGGGAGCAGGGGCAGCCCGAGCAGGTTCGACCATGTGCACGCAGTGGAGACGGCACGGCTCCGCGGTGGTGTGGCCGCGTCAGCTTCCCTCCCTCCGGTGGATCCCTCGACTGCCCAAGGGCGAGCACCGACACAAGGAAGTCGGGGCGAGCTCGTGGGCACAATCAAATGAACTGCTACCACTTTGCCCCTACCTTTCTTCCCCGCTTCCGGTCACGGCGGCGACATGGCCGCGGTGAGCCGGACTCCAAATTGACGCAAGGGAGGGCATCTGAGGGGACTTGCATGGTCGGAACCGCTAATTCCTTACGAGGCCTTGCTACAAGGATGCTGAATTGAGCCGAGGTGCCATGGCCACGTGTTAATACTATGGACATTGGCGCGGTGGCCCGCGACCGGACAGAGCCATTAAGGCGTGCCCACGCGTGGCCATGCGCATGCAGTGGCACGACGTCGCGATGCGGCAGACGCCCGTGATATCGAGGTTCTTGGCTAGGTAGGTGATTCGAGCGGTCAACGGGCGCCACGTCGCTCCGCGCGACTGCGCGACAACGTTATGGACCATCGTTGCGCTCGCGACGGCCACGCCGCGACAACCCATCAGTGCAGCGGCTCGCGGAGTCGACCCAGGCCACCCCCAGCCCGACGAGCGGTCGTTAGCCCCCAAGGCTAACCATGGCACGACCCCAGCCAGGAACGGCCGGTCACGGCAGCGTGCACATGGTGTCCGCGCCTACAGAGACAACGGCCGAATGGTGACGAGCACGCATTTTAAAGTGACGCAAAAATTGCTAACGATCACGATTGAGGTTCAACTAATTTCACGACTCTAAAGTTGATCTTATCAGCTATCTAACGGAGCAATTCGCACAACAAAAGGGCCACCCGAGAGGAAGATACATGCGTGCCAAGATGAGTTCGTCCTCGAAGTTCCGGTCCGCGACAGAGCGTTGACACAGAGCTCGCAGCGCGTTCTAATGAACTTAGGCAAATTTTTCTGAGATCCACGTGACACTCAACACGACTATAACCTACACCATTCTCGAGTGCTCACCTTGGGGCAACCAATAGTGCTCCAACATATAAAAATTGCTTAATTATTTTTGTTGGAATTTAAATGTGGAAATGGCACTGTCGATTATTGTTACAGACTTAGAAAGGACGAGAGTCCCGCTTGAACTAAACAACCATTAACACTTGTAATTAAATTTTTAAAAGTTTGGAACTTCATCAATTTCAACTAGACAACATGTCATGACCTAGTCCATACTTCGTACTAACTCGTAGGAATAAAATATTAAAGCACTATTTAAGTATGTTTCATGGTATAATTTACCAAAGATAACACTTTAAACTTAAATCGTTTGTTTGCCGACTTAACCATGAAGAGTGGATTTAATTTTAATTTAATTTCCGAGCTTCACAAAAATACTAGCTGACATTATTATTCTCTAAGATTTAAAATTGTATGCCCAGCTACGTAACTCGCCCTCAAATCTTTATTTCCACACTATACTCCAGTCATAAATGGGCCGTTGTTCATAGAAATTATTTTTATGCCAACAATTAACCCAACTCATTCTATTATTTTTGTTAGGAATTTTTATCACCACCTCTTTACGCTAAGTAAACGAACTCACTATATTATTAGATCTATCTCTCATGCTATAATCTCGATGCTTAGTAAGCCCGTAGCACCAGAGGTGTTACAACCAATCAGCTTTGCATGACATGATCCAATGGCTATTATCGATTACGGTCTTCACACAGCATGAAGCACATCAACATGGTGGAACAAGAACTAACGAAGGTAGTCCCTCAACTGCACCCGCGGCACCGTCGGCGGCGGGCGCCGTGCCGCGTCAGGCTGCTGCTTCCTCCTCCGGCACTCCCACGCGCTCCTCAGCCATCGGAACACCGGCCTCAACGCCTCGAGCCACCGGGCCACCACCTCGTGGAGCCGCCAGAACCTCCCGCCCCCGTCGCGCCGCGCCGCCTCTCCCTGCAGGTCGGGTGCCCCACGAGGCGGCGGTGGCGGCGCGCGCGCATCACCACCACCAGCTGGTGGGCGTTGCTGGTGCTCCGCCGAGAGCCGGACGGGGCTGGGCTCAGAGTAGCACCGGCGCAGGACGATGGCCCGGTTGAGCTGCGCCTCGAACGCCAGCCGCTCGTACTCGTCGAGCAGCGTGCTGTGCCGCCCACCGCACCCGGCGCTCACGTCGAGGCTGAACCGCGACATGACGTCCTCGGCGATGGCCGCGCCGCCTGGTGATTTCCCCTCGTCCGTGTCCATGGCAATATGCGGCAGCGGGCAGCGGCTCCACTGCAGTACTGCACTGATGCTAATGCCCCGGTCGTCGACGTGCGTGCGTGGTATTTAGACATGCTTGCAGTGTCCAGTGTGGTCCTCCGATCCAGCGAGGCGGCTATACGCCATTTCTTTGGCACGAAAGTTTGTGCGAGCTTGACGTGGGAAGGACGGCAGGGATCAGTGCACTGACGAGCCAACTTTTTGTAGGATTATCGACTAATTAAACATGCATGGCTGATGGCTCTAAACCTCTAATCCATCTTGCAGCCTTGTACAACTGTCCATGAATCTGTACGCAAGGAATAAAACACCATAGCATATTAGCATAGCACCTTACCTTAAGGCTACACCATAACAGTATTATACGAGATTCCATCTCTGCCACTCTTATTCATTCCACATGCCCCAGAAGAGAAAATTCCATGTGCTTTTGCAAAGCATAATGTAAAGCTACATACTGCAACAGCAAGCAATCTGATCCTTTGTGAATCCCGTTTTCGTTCCTGAAATAGCACTGCTTGCTACTACTATAATAATTCTATTTACCATCTCCACTTTGTTCTGTAGATTCATGTGGATGGATAAGCCCTTTCTTCTGAGTTTTTTTTTTTTTTGATCATGCCCTTTCTTCTAAGTTGATCGTATAGCAACATCGCTGCAGTTACATTCCCGGCTTCTCTTAACACGTCAGCGTCCAGCGATCCAGGCAGCTAGCACGATGAAATTTCAACGAAGTTTGGTCCAGTGCCCGGACAAGTGTGCGTGTGCGTCTCGAACAAAATTTTCACCGAAACGGAGACCAAACCGCAACGGTCCACGGACGGCACAAGTCTGACCGACGACGAACAGCACTTGCGCGTAGCGAAGCCGAAGCCGGCAGCCGCGAAGGCCTCCTCCAAATCTTCCTCTTGTCCTCTTCACGCACCCGAAATCCTCCTCGCCCGCAGCTGCATCGATCGGGCCAATAGAACCCCACGAAATCTCGATTCTCGAACCGCGAGGCTGCAGAAAACGCGTTGATCATTCAGACTCCTCCTAACCCCCCACCCTCCAGATCCCGACCAGGCGGCGCGCCCCGACGCCCTCGTCGGGGATCCCGGATCTGTCGTCGAGGGGGAGCCGCCGGGGCGCCACGGCCATGCGATCAGCACCCCTGCCGCGCTGCCAGAATCGACGACGAATCGGCTGACGCGGTAACTAGCCTCCCGCCGCCGGGCTCCCAGCCGATGGGCGCCTGCGGACTCACCGCGGTCGTCGTGCTGCTACTGCTCGCCTCGGCGCTACACCCTGCCCCTGCTTCTGCTTCAGGTAGAAGAAGCCTTCGGGGAGGCGAGAACCCCAACTCCGGCGAGGTGAGAACCCGATCATCTATGCTAAGTTAGCATTTTAGATTAGCGTTCTCGTGATTCGTGAATGGATTGAAGGGAATTTGGGTTCAGAGGTTGTTTGTATCTCTACAGGACGCTCCTGCACCAACCGTTTCTGGGCAGTCTTCAGCTGCGGGGCAGCAGGGTGAGAGCAAGGAGCATCAGAAACCACTGGCATCATTGCCATCACCACCGAAGGATACCAAGGAAGGGGGTAAGGCACAGGGATCTGCATCACCACCGCCACCGCCACCGCCGCCCACGCAGGAGAATAATTTGCAGAAGGCGGGCAGTCCTCCCCCAGGAGTTCCAGGACCGAATGGCGGGACAGGCCAGGAGGACACAGGAAGTCAGGGGAGGAGGGAGGAGACTGATAAACTGAAGGAGGCGATGGAGAAGTGTGCGCACAAGTGTTCCTCTGGAAAGGAATTTTCTGCTTGCCTTCAGGTTTCTGATGATGGTAATGCCTTGATTTCTTTTGGAAATTCAGCAGTATAATTTATTAAGTATCACTTTCTGGATGTCCCCGTGCTATCCGATTGCTGTATCAGGGATGTTGAGTCAGAATTAGGAGTGTTGTATTGAATTTGTAGCTCGTAAAGGTTCATGTGTATCTGCCTTTTAGCTTTGGTTAGTTTGTTGCACGGGTAAAACCGTAAAAGCAATGTGATTCATTTCATGCGTTTTGTTCAGAATAAACTGCATTTATAGTACTAGTGTTCAATGAAGTTGTCTAGTTGATCCTAAGCATAGTCACCATGGGACTGACTAGGTGACTAGTCACGATTAGTTGTCCAAGGTCGGTCCTAGTCGTCCTATATGTATCAAGACTAACATACCAAACATAGACTAATATGATATGTGTCCTAGAGTACAAATCAAGCATGAAGATAACTTTAGGGTGGTGGCTGCATGTCGGGTTGCAAATTGGGCTGAAAAACATGAGCCCAAGTGGCCCAAGCCATCCTAGATGCAGCCCATGTCCTAAGCTGCCGAGCAATTCCATTTTGTTTCTGGTCGTCTACCCCCTAGCCGTCCAACTACTCGGACAACCACAAAACTAATCACCCTAATCGAGTCATAGCCCCTAGTCGAGTCCAGGATTCCGACTAGACGACTAATCGTGATTAATCAGGCGACTTGATAACATTGGTAGTGTTTCCTATTTGCATATATAATTCGGTGAGTACATTTACCTTGTGATTCTAGTCAGATGTAATTGTATTAATCTATGGTGGGAAGTGCCTCACGATATCTTTGTAGCTAAATTAATCAAGCTATCTAAAATCAAGAAAACAGTAAGAGGTCATAAGATAATTTACATGCCTGGATATCCTTAAATTTAAGTTGTAGAAATTTCAAAGATTTTCCAACGTTAACATAATATGTGAACCAACTATTAATTAAGGGCCCGTTTGAATTCAATGAGATATGAGAATCCGGATAAAAAGAATCACAGCAGTTTTGAGATTCTAAGAATCTTTGAGTTAAAATCTCTTTAAAATCCAGACCGTTTGGATGAGATATTGAGATTCTGGGATTATTTTTTATCTGGATTCCCAGAATCCCATGGGATTAAAACGGGGTCTAAGCTCGGAAGTATATTTCTCAAGTTTCAGTGTTTCACACCATACAATGGTTTGCCATCTAAGTCAATCACTGCATCGTCCTAAATCATTTTTTGTCATATATTAGCCTTTCTTTCCTCATAAAACCAGGAAAGAGGTCCTATTGTGGGCGACAATAAAAATGTATGGTACAATGACGCCAGGGATGTGCCTGTTTTAGTTATTATGTCATCATGAACATATGAAACGGTGGTAAATGGTTATTGGTTAAGTTCAATTTTACTGTATAGATCTGGCAGTTTTTCTTCCCTAAAACCGATAACAATAAACGTTTTAACAGATACTGAAAGAAAATATTGGTACATAAGCTGAGGTTGTTTCGGGAATGATAAAGCCGTTATTTAATGCAAACTGTATTTTTTGTTTCTCTGGCCTTGAGATATATGAATAGACATGGAAATCATAGTAATGCATAACATATGTATGGCCTACACTGTCATGAATATAAAATGGGCCTTTTGTTTATTCTTGCAGCTTCAGGTGGGTCATATATTATTGTCCAGAATAAAGGCCAGCATGATATTGACATTTATGTCAAAGAACCATCATCAAATATAAAAAATGATAAGCCTCTACATCTTATCAAGGGTGCCTTTGGACAGGTATGTAATGTACTCTGTTACAACATTTGCATATTAGGTTTTCTTGAATAGTATGCATATTTAAGTCGAATAGATGCTGAGATTTACTCGAGTAACTGATCAGCCAAATTAACTTTGGGTCATATATGGTGAGGTAGTGTTTCAAAATTGGATTTACTTTAGAGCGTAAGATTTTCATGGTTTCCCATTCTCACCTCATGTGTTCATTCGGGGCCTGTAGTAGTAGGGTATGTACTTTTGAGTTGTTAGACTGGGTAGATTGCCTGTGCATTCCGTTTGAGATTGAGAAGCTACATGTGACCTTTGAGACTAACCAGAATACTAGGCCTTTGAGCATACAAGCTGAGTCTTTGTTCCTTACATATTTGATGCAATTGAACTGCATTTGTTTCTCATATTTTTAAGAGGATTAAATGCGTGCTTGTCTAAATATAGTATTTCCTCTGTTCCAAATTATAGTTTGCTTTAGCTTTGTCCAATGTTAAACTTTTCTGACTGTGACCAAATTTTTGGAAAAATGTATTAACATCTGCAAGCTGAAATAAATGCACTATCAAGACATGGAGAATTTAATGAAACTAATTTGATGTCATAGATATTGGTGTATTTTTCTATAAACTTGGTCAAAGTTAGGGAAGTTTGACTTAGGATAAAGCTATAGTGAACTACTCCATAATTTAGGACGGAGGGAGTAATTACTATTCCAAGGTTTTTGTTTGAAATTTTATTATATGCATTATCATTTTGATTTTCTTGTCCGCTAATTTTTTTGGTCCAATTTATATTACCAGATGAACATAGCATATACCAGTTCAGATGTTGGGAATATTACATTAAGTGATGGAAAGGAGGACTGCATCATACATGTTGGGCAATCGGTTTATGATTTGCAGCAACAGTTGCAGCAGCTTGCAGCCTATGCAATGCGTTTGAATCCAATTTATGGAGCCTCTTTTTTTGTTTTCACTATTGTTTTGGTTGGCGTTGTATGCGCCTGCTGTAAGTTTGCAAAGAGAAGAGGCAATGTTGGAGTCCCATACCAACAGCTTGAGATGGGAGGTCAAGCACCGAACTCTTCAGGGGTGGACAACACCGCAAGCACCACAGATGGCTGGGAAGACGGCTGGGATGATGACTGGGATGATGAAGAAGCACCAGCAGGACCTGCAGATAAGAAACCTACAAGCAGTGTCTCAGCAAATGGCCTTTCGTTGAGATCACAGGCACAGACGAATAGCAAAGATGGTTGGGATGTGGATTGGGATGACTAAGCTCCTACAGAACTTTGAATGTAGCTGTCAAATGAGGGAGAAGATACTTCCATCTGCCTGACTTGCAGGAAAGAGTCAATGAAAGACAACTACAGCTCGAACTGATGGAACTCATGCTTGATAAAGTGACCCTTATCCTGGAAGAGGTGAAGGATTGCCTCACTTCATACGGTTTGTACAATAGTGTTTCACTTTTTTTTTCTCTGAGCTGATACACGATATGTTAGCAGTACGGATTTTAGTTCTTTTTGGGTTGTAATGCTACAGAAGAATTTGTTAGTATATAACCAAAACACACATTTTTATTCTTTCGTGGAGGTAATTATTCTTTTTTACACAGATTCCTGAGTTCCATATCATTATTTATATCATTCATGCTGCACGCTTGGGCTGGTTGGAAGCAGATCCTGCTGAGCTGCCATATCAGACGCAACGCATAATTTGCTTCACACATGTTTGCTTCAGCTTGTGTCCGAATTGTAGTAGTGCACATTCTGCTGTCACTTTAGAGCTGTGCAAGAACAGGGCCTAGTGGGTGGCCTTTGGACCTTACTACAGTTCCATTGGTGGCCACCTCATCACATGCATTCCTTTTCGCTTTTTCTGTTTGTTCGTTTACCTTTTGCATTATGCCTCCTCTTGCATTTCGCTTCTTCCGGTTCATGTTATATGTATTTGATACATTGTGGATAAGGTATTTGCAAGAGACATGGTTTGCTGGGTGCCTTTTCTCAATTACATTAGTTTTTGTGTAGACATCTTTGTAGCAATGATTCGGATCAGTCGCTCATTGTTTACATTTGTGCTGCTGTTGTCTATGACCATTGACCATACCATCTAGACACAACTCACGTGTATTGTACTTGAGCCACTACCAACTATTATGTTCTTGCGAGTTATCCCAAGCATGCTTGCTTCATATCGAAATCGAAATCGAAATCCAGAGTGTCTGACTGCGCCAATGATTGATACAATCATGCTATGGCCTAGCTCAGGGGCTGGCGGCTGGTTACTTCATGTGTTACTTTGCGGTTAGTTTTTTCTGGGACAAGCATAAAGTTGCTATACTGAGGCTTCTGGTATGATGTTCTTCCTGGCTGCTTCTATTTGACCACTTCACTGCTGGCCAAAGTTGCAGTTGATCTGCTAAAGTAACATCATTTTGCCTTGGATTCCTTTGTAAGTTGCTACTGTACATACTATCTTGGGCAGCTACCTTTTGATATATCATATCTGTACTCCTTGGCTACCTACCACAAATCTTTGCCTGATTGATCTGTAAAAGATCGACATGCAAGAGCACAATGCCTTGAGCACCGGTAAGAATCCTCATAAATTTTGGTGTATTGTACTTCATTTATGGACAAGGGTCCCGTTCGCTTCGCTGAAAAAACAAGCTGAAACATCGTTCCGGTTGATTTGTTGCGAGAGAAAAACACTGTTCCGGCTGAAAAAACAAGCTGAAAAATACGGATTATAAGAGAAACGAACAGGGCCTGCCGACCAAAGAAAATTACAGGCGTGAGTAATCGCCTATGTAATGTTTGCTAGGGGAGAAAGAGCGTGTTGTACATCTATTTGTCCCTCCTAGCGCGCCGGGGGCAAGGCGCGAAGATGTAACAAACAACTTTTATCGACCTTGATACAAAAATGGGCAAAACTTTTACGTACTCAAGAAAAAAAGAGAAAATTACGAGGGCTCGAATGGAGACCAGGGGCCAGTTTGATTGCCGAATTTTTTTGGCAAAATGACACCGTAGCGTTTTTGTTGTTATTTGGTAATTAGTGTCCAATCATAGTCTAATAAAGCTTAAAAGATCCGTCTTCGTAGATTTCGTCTAAACTGTGTAATTAGTTTTATTTTTTATTTATATTTAATGCTTCATACATGCGTCTAAAGATTTAATGTGACGAAAAATCTTGAAAATTTTGGTATTTTAAGAGGGAACTAAAAAGGGGTCAGATCAGATGGCAACTTTTGCAGAGGGAGGGACCAACTGGAACTGCAGTGTTGGGACACAGTAGGTTCGCTGTCAATGAAGCCCCGGGGTCCGGGTGGCAGGCCGAGGAGGCGAGGACATCACCGAGCTGGCATGCATGGGACGGCTCAGGGAATTTGCTCCTTTTTCTTTCCCTGCCCCACCAACCAACCATGAGGGCTTTTACATTTTTACCATTATAAAGATTGACACTCATCTATCTGAATATCATTCTTAGAATAACACTTACAACTTTACCAGATGAGAGAAGTTTTAGATTTATCACATTTGCGTATGTGGCATGCCATGCCAGCTCGACACGCTGTCGCCTAGTCCGCCTGAGCACGTGAAATGTCGTTGCTACCCCTGCCTTGCTCCTCTCTCTCCATCCCCGACAGCTGGGGCCCACGGCACCTGCCACTTTCAGGTGGACCCCACTCGTCAGCTTCGTCTTCCAGCTCTAGCACCTGGATGGGAGACAGCTCGCCGGAGCTCCATCGCCCAGCGCCTGGATGTGGCACGCACCACAGGCTCGACACGGCCTTCACGCCCAGCTCGCCGGAGCAGCTGCTCCCCATGCGAGCTCCCCAGCGGGTGAGCCACCACCTCGCCCTCCCTCTTGGCAAGACTCATGAGGCCACGGCCACGGCTGGAGCTGCTGCCACGTCGACGCGGCGCCGACGAGGTGCTGGGAGCTACTCGCGGCTGGGCCGGGCGAGGAGGCTAAGCTGCTTTGCTCTGCGCGCGCCTCCTTCTCGGCTTCCTCATGCCGTCTTTGCTCCGAAGCTCGTGGGCGCGTTCAAGACCTTGGCCATTGTCTTGAAGTCTTGGCGTCTTGCAGTCGTCCACCGACTGCCCGTCCGGAGCTGGACACCTGTCACCACTATCCTCCTTGGCTCCCTGCTTGTGACATGTGAGCACCTCTGGAGTCTTCTCTTGACTCGTGAGTGGTGACTCCCTATCTTCCTGTCCTTGCCGCTGGATAGATTGGCCGATTGGCTGTCTCCCATCCAGATGCTGGAGCTGGAAGACGAAGTTGACGAGTGGGGTCCACCTGGAAGTGACAGGTGCCGCGGGACCTAGCTGTTGGGGATGGAGAGAGAGGAGCAAGACAGGGGTAGCAATGACATTTCACGTGCTTATGCTGACTAGGCACCAGCGTGTCGAGCTGGCGTGGCATGCCACATGCGCAAATATGGTAAATCTAAAACTAAAACTTCCCTCATCCGATAAAGTTGTAAATATCATTCTAAGAGTGATATTCAGATAAGTGCCAATCTTTATAATGGTAAAAATATAAAAGCCCCGGACATCTCTCCAGCCTTTCTCACTTCTCGCAGGGGTTAAGCCATGGCTGTTTGGTTGGCTGCGGTGTTGTCAGTGCTGCGGCATGAAACGAGTGAGTGGGCAAAAAAATAACAAAACAAAGAATCTGATGCATTTCTTTGTTCGTGTTTTACTACTTACCGCCCCCTATTCGTTTGAAATATTTCAACAATATTTTTTCTTTCACAACAAATTAGTATAAACAACAGCATAAACTAAATTTCAGCGAAAAAGTGTCACAAATCGAATTGCTTCATACAGACCTCCTTCCTTTCGAACTTTTGATGCATTGATAGGATCGTCCTTTGAAATCTCCAGCTCATTTCATCCGGCCCCTTTGAGCTTTGAAAGCTGTACCCGTACGGCTCAACGACTGTGCTACTGTGTGTACTGTGTGCTCCTTGCCGTCCCTTGTCCAAATAGTGCTAGCAAGTTGTTGGGAGCAGCGTACAAGCCCGAAGGACGCACACGATCAGCTGCTGCAATTTGTAATGCCACGCAAGGACAATCTTGGCTGCCGAGGCCTCTTTGAAAATCCAATAATTTCACATCACTAAACAGTCCGATTCTCTCATGATTCCCACGCTCAAAACCGGTCCTAACAAGTGGGTGGTTGATTATGTTTAGCGAGGCTATAAGTTGAAGTCTCGACTTCGACGAGTTTCCAACTCTTGTTCATGTATCAATGAATTTCCAATTCTTTCTCTTTAGATCACGAATTTCCAACTACTTGACCAAACAAAAGGGCGAGATCGATGTATTGAGAAAAAGAAATTAGTCAATATAATGAATTATTAGACTTGAAAAAGGTCAGAAACAAACATGACATACGGTTTCTTAGTAGATTGACTTCTGTCACACAATAGACAATTCGTTTTTAAAATTATTTATAGATGACCAGATGGCCAGATTTAGGTGGCTAGTCCAAGGCCCTAGCTTTTGGCCCGAACAAGCTCAACACTGGCCCTGTTCATTTCGCTAAAAAGTCACGATTAAAAACACTGTTCGCTGATTTGTTGTGAAAAAAAAAATTTTTTTCGATGAAAAAACAGTATTCGTACTCATAACACAAGCGGACAGGGCCACTGCCCGCTCGGAGTCATGTCGGTGTGGCCCCGGCCCTGGCCATTGAGCGCAACAATGACGCTGGCGTGGCCTAGCCACCACGCACATGGTACAACAGTGACGATGGGTAGGCCCTGATCAACATATGGGCCCTGTTCACCCACCCAAATCAACATATAAGCGATGTTCGCTTGAGCTTATTTAGAACTATTTTTCAGCCATAGAATAATATTTTCTCTCATAATATTTCAGCATAAGCCAAATTTCAGCATCAGCGAACGGGGTGGGGCTAGGAGAGCATCAATTTAAATGGTTTTCTACTACCCTTGCTAAACTAACAAATTAAACCGGTACCAAGAATCATATATGTTATGGTCCATTTTGGTATGATTTTTGTTACGGCTTCTCGACTAGCTTAATCGAACATGTACACAAGACAATGACTTCTAAAGCAAAAACCAAGCCAAAAACAGAAAAGCCAGGCCATTTTTGCGTAGAAGGAAAAGCCACTGAAATATGGCTTTCTTTCTCTTCATCGTATTTAAAAGAAGTCCAATGCCCTAGCAAAGAGAATATATATATTATATTACCGGCAGTCCCGCACCGCACGAACCCAATCAATTAACAATGGTACCATGATCTCACCCTCCACATCCTCTTCCTCTATTGTCACGGCATTATGGACCCCCTGCCTTCTTGTCATGTTAGCGAGTGTTTGATTCGGTGACTAAAATTTAAGATACTAATAAAAAATAAATTACAGAATCCGTCAGAACTTCACGAGACGAATTTATTAAACATAATTAATCCATCATTAGCATATGTTTACTGTAGCACTACGTTGTCAAATCATGGACTAATTAGGCTTAAAAGATTCATCTCGCAAATTAGTCGCAAGCTGTGCAATTAGTTTCGTAATTAGTCTATATTTAATACTCCATGTATGTGTCCAAATATCCGATGAGAGAGCGACTAAAGTTTAGGAGGAGAAACCAAACACTCTCTTAGTCTTGGTTGTAGATAGTATGTCACTAGACAAAAATGATATTTAAATGCTAAAATCTTCTGTATATTAAAAAAAGAATGATATATCTATGCTTGCTTAAAATGTGAAATCACGAGTATACTACTAGCATCACATGAACTCAATTAATTAACAACCCCCACCATGAGGCCATGATCTCACCCTCGACGACCTCCTCCTCCTCTATCGTCGTGCGAATGTGGATCCCTCCTGCCTTCTCGGATGTAGTAGATAGTATGTTGCCAGATAAAACTGATTTCTTTTAAATGCTAAAAGCTTCTACATATTCAAAAATATAAATGATAGGGATTGACGTTAAAGCCCTTTCACCCCCAGCTAGCCCGGCGTCTGTGGAATGAAAATTTAGATGGAGAGGCTTTACTCCCCCCGGTGTTGATCTAAAAAAAAAGATGTATGTATGCCTACTTAAAATACGAAATCTCGAGTATGTTACTACCACCACATGAACTCAACCAATGAACAACCTTGCTGTTGATCTCACCCTCATCGTGGCAATGTGCACGGTGGACCGCCCCCCTTCTACCTTTTCCTAGTCACACTAGCCTTGGTTGTAGATAATATGCCGGTAGACAAAATTGACTTTTAAATACTATGGGTGTGTTTGTTTCGCGCCGAACCACGCCTCGCCTAAGCCGCGGATGCGCCAAAATGCGGCGAATGAAACGGCCACCACACCTGCGCCGTGAGTTGGCAATGAAAATGAACTACGCGCGTGTGGCATGAGTGCGGCGTGCCAAAACCGCGGCGGCAACCAAACAGCGATGTGAGACACCGCAGTTTTGGCGTGGCGGTCTGCTGCACGTGTAGGCATCAACCAATCATGTTCTAAAATCTTCTGCATATTAAAAAAGTATAATATATCTACGCTGGCTTATAAAATATGAAATCTCGAGTGAGACGAGGGACCAATGCCGAAGGAAGAAATCATTAATTGCACCATATTTTCATCCCTCACCAAGCCAACGAACAAACCTAATAACAAAGACAAGACACATCATAGTAGACCACTATGGTTAATGGTCAAGTACCTCTCGTGATTTCGACGTTCTACTCTTGTTCCTATAACGTCGCGGTAACAATGCCAACCCCTCCCAATCTCTAAAGAGTTTCGACTCCCGAACCAAAGAAATGAAGTACTCCCTAGGTTGATGCATTGGCAAGCAAATTTGCTCCACAGTCTTCGAAATTAAACGCATGCACGCAAAAAAACCCCTCATGAATGAGGCCTTGTTTAGTTTGTCCCCCTAAAGTTTACTCCCTATCCCATCGAATGTTTAATACTTGCACGGAGTATTAAATATAGACTAAAAAATAACTAATTGTACAGTTTGCAACTAATTTATGAGATGAATCTTTTAAACCTAATTAATTCATGATTTGACAATATTGTGCGTAACACATGCAGTGACGGACCTAGGTTTTTACCTCTGGGTATACGCAGAAAAAAAAATTCTTATACAATTCGGTAAACCTAAAAAATTTCTTATGCAATTTTTTTTACATTGAAAATTTCTACCTATCTCTATGACTGGCGGACCCCAGGGTATGCGGTGGCCCACCTACATACCCTGTAGGTCCGTCTCTGAACACATGTGATAATGATAAATTAATTATGTTTAATAAATTTGTCTCGCGAATTTTTAATTTATTTTTTTATTAGTATCTGAATACGTCATGTAACCCCTGTTCTGACGACCATATCTTTTACACCGTAGTATGTTTAAACGAGCCCTGAATCACCGTAACCGCCCGGTGGACGAAGACGTGGCATGGTCGCCCCCACTCGCCAGTCGCGACAACTGCCTTCGCCCATCCGTCACCCACGGGCCACGAGCCACGAGCCACGAGCCACGAGCCCACGACCCCAAGAAGATTTGATTTTGAAATGCTAAAATTGTGGAACAACCTCGAGCCAGACGGTAGCCCCAATGCGCAGTGACCAGCGGCGCATTAATTGCAAGCGGTTTCCCAGTTCCCACTCCCCAGACGAATGCCTTCGTGGAGCTAAAAGTAAAAGTAGACTGACTTCTTACAAGAGAAAAATTTCGTCGGCGGAAAAAGTTTTGTCGGCGGAAAAAGCACGCCTTACAAGGCAAGCCAAGCGAACGGGGCGGAAACCAGCAACACGCAGCAGTCAGCAGACAACAGTGCATCTGCGTCGCGAACCGCCGCTCCAGTCCAATCAATGAACGAACACTTCCTATGATCTCGTCGCCCACCTCCTCCTCCTCCTCCGCCGCCGCCGCGGCAATGGCGACTCCCTCCCGCCTCCGTCGCCGCTTGCGCCCCCTCCTCCTCCCCGTCCTGGTCCTCCTCGCCGCGTCGGCCCGGGTCGCCGCGGCCGCCACCGTGAGCGACGACGTGCTGGCGCTGGTCGTCCTCAAGTCGGGCCTCTCCGACCCGGCGGGCCGCCTCGCGCCCTGGTCCGAGGACGCCGACCGCGCCTGCGCCTGGCCGGGGGTCTCCTGCGACCCGCGCACGGGCCGCGTCGCCGCGCTCGACCTCCCCGCCGCGTCGCTCGCGGGGCGCCTCCCGCGGTCCGCGCTGCTCCGCCTCGACGCGCTCGTCTCGCTCGCGCTCCCGGGGAATCGCCTCTCCGGCGCGCTCCCCGACGCGCTGCCCCCTCGCCTCCGCGCCCTCGACCTCTCGGGCAACGCGATCTCGGGCGGCATCCTCGCCTCGCTCGCGTCCTGCGACTCGCTCGTGTCGCTCAACCTCTCCCGCAACCGGCTCACCGGCCCGGTCCCCGATGGCATCTGGTCGCTGCCGTCGCTCAGGTCGGTGGACCTCTCCGGGAACCTGCTCTCCGGGAACCTGCCCGGCGGGTTCCCGCGGAGCAGCTCGCTGCGTGTGGTGGACCTGAGCCGCAACCTCCTCGAAGGGGAGATACCGGCGGACGTCGGTGAAGCCGGGCTGCTCAAGTCCCTTGATCTCGGGCACAACTCGTTCACCGGCGGGCTGCCCGAGTCGCTGCGTGGGCTGTCCGGGCTGAGTTTTCTCGGCGTTGGTGGCAATGGCCTATCAGGGGAGCTCCAGGCGTGGATTGGGGAGATGGCGGCGCTGGAGAGACTGGATTTGTCTGGCAACCACTTCGTCGGTACCATCCCGGACGCCATTTCGGGCTGCAAGAACCTGGTCGAGGTCGACCTCAGCCGGAACGCGCTCACTGGGGAGCTCCCATGGTGGGTGTTTGGGCCACCTCTGCAGCGCGTCTCCGTCGCTGGAAATGCACTGTCAGGGTGGGTCAAGGTTCTCGGTGATGCTGCTGCGACCCTGGAAGCTCTGGACCTTTCAGCCAATGCTTTCACCGGGGCGATCCCGCCTGAGATTACCACCCTTGCAAGATTGCAGTACCTGAATTTGTCCTCGAATTTCATGTCGGGGCAGCTTCCTGCAAGCATTGGGCTGATGCTGGTGCTTGAGGTGTTGGATGTGAGTGCAAACAAGTTTGACGGGGTTGTACCACCGGAGATTGGAGGTGCGGTGGCACTCCGACAGCTGCTAATGGGGAGGAATTCACTTACTGGAGGCATTCCTGTCCAGATCGGCACATGCAAATCCCTGATTGCTTTGTAAGTGATCCTTTTTGCTGGCATTACCCAGTTCCTAGTGCATGTGCATGCGTGTTTAGTGGTTGACTAGATGACTACTAGTTTCCATTTGTTTTTTTTTTTCTCGTGTTAGTTTTTGCTAGTTCTCTGCTTCCTAGGTTGGAGGTGTCACTTAGAAAGCGATAGGCATGTCTTATTTGCTGTTTGGAAGCACTAAACTGAAAACGTGGGTGACATCTTTGTCTTGCTGCTTTGCCCTTATCCCACTGTCAGGTTCCATGCTTCTCTTGGATACACTAAAAAACATGAGTCAAATTCTGCACGAATTTTGTTGCTGATTAAAAAAAATTATTGCAACAAACAAGGCAAAGCGCTTCTGTCGATTACTAGGCACTAATTCAGGTTCTTTGCAGGGATCTATCACACAACAAACTTGCAGGACCAATTCCTATGTCCATGGGTAACCTTACTAGTCTTCAAACAGTTGATCTCTCAGATAACTTGCTGAACGGCACCTTGCCGATGGAGCTCTCTAAACTTGACAGCCTGCGTTTCTTCAATGTCTCTCACAATTCACTGTCTGGGAGCCTCCCCAACAGTCGCTTCTTTGACAGCATCCCTTATTCTTTCATCTCTGACAATGACGGCCTTTGCAGTTCACAGAAGAACAGTTCCTGCAACGGTGTCATGCCAAAGCCAATTGTTTTCAACCCTAACTCCTCATCAGACCCCTGGTCGGATGTTGCCCCAAGTTCCCCAAGGAACCAGCACCAGAAGAAGATGATATTGAGCATCTCCACACTCATCGCCATTGTGGGTGGAGCAGTTATTCTTATCGGTGTGGTCACTATAACAGTGCTCAACTGCCGTGCCCGTGCAACAGTTTCCCGCTCGGCACTTCCTGCTGCATTGTCAGATGATTATCATAGCCAATCAGCTGAATCTCCTGAAAATGAGGCCAAGTCTGGGAAGCTCGTCATGTTTGGCAGAGGCAGCTCGGATTTCAGTGCTGATGGGCATGCATTGCTGAATAAGGATTGCGAACTTGGGCGTGGAGGCTTTGGTACTGTTTACAGGGCAGTGCTCAGAGATGGCCAGCCAGTGGCCATCAAGAAGCTGACAGTTTCAAGTATGGTCAAGTCAGAGGATGACTTCAAGCAGCACGTCAAGCTTCTAGGCAAGGTGCGGCACCATAACATTGTCATGCTCAAAGGCTTCTACTGGACTTCCTCACTGCAGCTCCTTATATATGAATTCATGCCTGCTGGGAGCTTGCATCAGCACCTGCACGAGTGCTCATATGAGAGCTCGCTTTCATGGATGGAGAGGTTTGACATAATCATTGGTGTGGCCCGGGCACTTGCGCACTTGCACCGCTACGGTATAATCCACTACAATCTGAAGTCCAGCAATGTCTTGCTAGACACAAATGGTGAGCCCAGGGTTGGTGACTATGGTCTCGTGAACCTGCTGCCTATGCTGGATCGCTATGTGCTCAGCAGCAAGATCCAGAGCGTACTGGGATACATGGCACCTGAGTTCACTTGCAGAACGGTCAAGGTCACAGAGAAGTGCGACATATACAGCTTTGGAGTGCTGGTCCTTGAGATTTTGACAGGCAGAAGGCCCGTGGAGTACTTGGAAGATGATGTCGTTGTGCTTTCTGATCTGGTCAGAGGTGTGCTTGATGATGACAGGCTGGAGGACTGCATGGATCCACGGCTATCAGGTGAATTCTCGATGGAGGAGGCCACACTGATCATCAAGCTGGGGCTGGTTTGTGCATCTCAGGTGCCTTCTCAACGACCGGACATGGCTGAGGTGGTCAGTATGCTTGAGATGGTGAGGAGTCCTCAGGGTACCCCAGAGGATGATCTGGTTTGAGATCCATCTACTAGAGCTTTTCTCTTTTCTCATTCCTTTTTCATTCGTTTTGGGTAGATACATGTTGGGAAAAGAGGGAAAGTGCGGTCAGAAAGTATGTTTGGATCTGACTAGTGAGTTTAGCTTGGTTGCAGTATTTAGGGATGTAAAGCTGTTGGTTTCTTAAATTATTGGTCGGTCCCTTTGCGCGTAAGAAAGTATGGTACTGGTACATCAGCGCGATTAATCCTGTCATTGGCTAGTTAGGCTAATCCTGGAGCTATGCTATTAAAAAATTCTTCGCTTTCGGAGCCATTTTCTGGTATGATATCTTGTTGAGGCTCAGTACTGTTGCGGCCTGTGCCGACTGCCGAGTACTCGACCGGGTCCAGTTGGCTGGCTGGTCAAGACACGTCGGGGACGTTTAACCGAGTTGGGCCCAGCGTGGAGTGCTGCCGTATAGGTTAATGTCGTCAAGGGAGAGGCATCGACGTGAACAGCAAGCAGAGAAGCTATCTGGACCGGCGTGGAGGAAAAGGCTACCGGGAACGTCGAGTGAAGTGAAAATGGGCACTCGGTTGGCCAGCATTCGCATCATCCAAGCGTAGCTGCGTAGTCATTTGTTGACAGTTGGACAACTGAGTCTAGGAAGATGCAGTGACTGGGTCATGTTAGTATGTTCTTGTAGGAAATAGGAATACTGGTTTTCTCACCTATTTGTTTGTCTTGTTTTGCATACTATTTTCTGAAAAAAACAAGTATTCGTTGAGAAAATACACAAACTGGTTGTCTTGTTTTGCATATTTTTCCTCACCACGGATTAGCCAGCGAGAAAATACACAAGTTTTCGATGTCAGCGGATGCAATGCAAACATGTACCGATCCACTAACGTCATCCTGGACCTCTGTAACAGTAGAAGATATGCTGGTTCTGTGGCGTTCTGCTAACTGAAATCAGGGTTATCCTTATTCCCGGATCTGACAAGATCAAACTTACAAAATGTTACGTAGAGTCGATCCATCAAGCTTTTCGTACGGCCTGTTCGTTTCGCTGATAAACCAAGCTGAAAAGTACTATTCGTTGATTTGTTGTGAGAGAAAAATAGGTTGATAAGTTTTTTTTGAAAGGTAAAGTTTTTCGTTTTTGCCTCCCCAAGAGCTTACGCCCTGTTCGCTTGGCTTATAAGCCGTACATTTTCAGCCAACGAACAATATTTTTCTCTCATAATAAATCAGCCAACAGTACTTTCAGTCATGGCTTATCAGCCAAACGAACAGGGCACTAAACATTGGCTTGCAGAAGTGCAAAGACGTCAATAGACCAAGTGAGCAAGACCTATCGCCAGGGGCGAGGAGCTTGTGGCAGCTCATTAAGGAGACTAATCTCTTTGCTTTTACCATGGTTTCTAAGTGAAGGACACATGGACGTCTAAGAGGGGGGTTGAATTAGGCAACTTAAAAAACTAACTCTAAACTATGGCCTCTTTTTCTACCTCTAGCAAAACCTATGCAAAAGATAATCTATCTAGATGTGCAACTACGGTTTTGCTAGTGTGTTGCTATCTCTACTGCAAATGATAATAATATGATCAATGTAAATGCGGAAGCTTAAAGAGCAAGGTAGAGATATGCAAACTCCCGTCGACGACTCCGGTATTTTTACCGAGGTATCGAGAAGCGCGCAAGCTTCCCCTTGGTCCTCGTTGGAGCCCCTCGCAAGGAATCCCTCGCAAGGGCCAAGCTCCCGGTCGGGTAACTCCGTGGATAGCCTCGGGCCTTCCCCACGCGCAAGTGGGTCTCCGATGTGCCTTCCGGCAAGCCTCTCCCGGATGCTCCCCGCCGTCTTCACTATCAAGCTTTTGGTCGATCGGACGCTGCCAGCGTCCGGTCGCCTGCCACCGGACGCGTCCGGTCGCAGTTTCGCGCGCCTGGAACCTCTCTATACTCGATCGGATGCTGCGTTCCTGCGTCCGGTCGGTTGCCGCCAGCGTCCGGTCCTTGCGTCCGGTCGCTTATCTGCCGAGCCACCGGTCCAGCGTCCGGTCGCCTCTGCGAGCTCGTTTCTTCGCGATCTTGCGCACGGCTTGGTTCCTATCTTCATGCTTGGACTTTGCTTGACATCTTGGGTCTTTTCTTGTGCTTCTAAGGTCTTGCTTGAGGTGTTGATTATCAGATCATCATGTCACCTTCGTCCAAGTCACGTCTTGCACCCTATTGGACTACAAAACAAACACTTGCAAATTCATTAGTCCAATTTGGTTGTGTTGGTCATCAAACACCAAAATCCAAAGTAAATGGGCTAAGGGTCCATTTTCCTTACAATCTCCCCCTTTTTGGTGATTGATGACAACACGACCAAAGCAAGCAAATGATAAAAATTTTAAATTTAAAAAATTATCTACTTGCTAGGATGCAATGCAAAGGGCAAGGTTATATGATACTAATTGATAGATACCAATTAAAACTTTACTCAAAAGCATGTCTTGCCCTTGCAAATGTCCCCATATGATATTATGGATTAGAGCCTATCTTTCTAAAAAAAATTCTCCCATTACATAGACTAATCCATAATTCACTTTCCTCCCTTTCTCGGACCATTACTACTTGTAGACATCAACTTGATGCTTGCTTTTGGTCCTTCAAATTCTCCCCCTTTGGCATCAAACACTAAAAAGGAAGACATTAGTAGCACAAGGGAGGGTCAAATTTCATGATCCTTTGTGTATAGAGAGAAATGGATCACAAAATTTGACTCTCGCATTATATAGACTAAGCTCCCCCTAAATATATGCATACATATGGTAGAAAGCAAAGCATATGCATAATTAGCAATTTGTTGCACAAGAGAGTTTAATCTATATAATGCATGAAGAAAGCATATAAATATGAAATGAAATCAACATGATGATGCCAATTGAAGAACGATGCTTCTCTTCGGGGACTCCATTTTCCTTGCAATGAGACCACTACACACATGATAAACTTGAAAAAGGTGTTAGTCTCAAAGCGTCCATCTTGTAGATGATCCTCCCCCTAAATTTGTGCATGGAGACATGGAATACTTGTAGTACTCATGCACAATTGATTTTGGAGTCAAAATACCACTTGAAAGATGATATTTGGGAGAAAATTATCTACAATTTGGACTTTGGCACATATTAGATAAACAATAGTAAGACAAGCTATGTGCCATGCTCCTAAGCAATTTTAAACCATGTAGGTTTGCTCCAAGGGTTACAAATAAGACTGAGCAAGTCTACCATATGAAATACCTAGTGTATGCATGACAAAAGATATAAGCATGCAAATGCAACCCTAGGCATGAGGAGTAACTAGATGCTTAAAGATACCAATTGTAGAAAAATCTAATTGCAAGATGTACCAATTAAAAAGTAATAACATCTAGTTACCTAACATGGGAAGGGGAATTTAGGTTTATAGTATCCACTAACCCACTTGGCAATGACTTTGTCCAACATAATGCACCCCATGAAATGCATCCATACTTTGCCAAGACTCCAAATTCCCCGAGGACCGACGGACTTCTTACTTCCCTTTCGGGATCCAAACCTTCTTGGTGCTCTTCATGTTGGAAATGATTTCCTTTGGCACCCAAAAGCGTTTGACCCCATTGTTTGCTTGCTTGTTCACCTTGATGGCCACCACTTTGTCATTTTTCTTCTTCTTCAAGAGATAAGGTGTGGAGGCCTTCTTGTCCACCTTGTTGGTGTAGGTGTTGGAGAGCTTGCTTGTTTGCTTTTTCTCCTTCTTCTTTGCTCCTCCCCCATTATTTACCTTGCACTCATAGGACTTGTGGCCTTCTTTGTGGCACACGTAGCAAACCACGGTTTGTCCTTCATCAAGCTTCTTCACTCCCTTGACGGTGTTATCTTGATGAAGTTGGGTTTGCTTCGCCTTGCCTTTCATTTGAGTCAAGTCCTTGGTGAGGCGAGCTACTTCTTGCTTGAGTTGCTCATTCTCTTTTGCAACCTCTTGTGTGCATGTATCTACAATCACTTTCTTAACACAAACTTGGTTGCACAAAGGTGAGTCTAAACATAAATCATTGCAAGAGGTAGATGCATCCTTTTTAATTATGTCATTTCTTTTAGATGCCTTGGTGGGGGTATTTTTTACGGCCTCAAGATTAGCAACTTGATTTGTTAGCTCATCACAATGTTTGCACATGATTTCCATTTTAGCAAGGAAACTTTGATAATCATTTTGTGAGCTAGCTAACTTTTCTTTTAATTTTTCATTTTTCTTTTCAAGTTGCTTATCATTAATTGTGCATGCACTTATTGTTGCACTAGCCTCAAGTTGCTCAATTTTAGTAGATAGTTCAACATTGAGATTTGCAAAGTCTTCATATTGTTCAAGCAAATTCTTGTATGCTTCTTGTGAACTACCTAGCTCTTCTTTTAAAGTTTTGAGCTTCTTTTGTTGACTAGTGCAAACTTTAGCATATTTAAGATTTTGTTGCACAATTGTATTGTAAGAAGGCAAATCATCATCATTATCACTCTCACTAGAGGATGAGCTTTTGTTACCTCGTGCCATAAGGCACACACGAGAAGAGCTTGATGATGAGTGCTTATGACCTCGCCTCTTGTGATGGTTTTCTTCTTCACTTGAAGAATCATCCCATGACCTTATTGTTGTGAGGGCTTTGTTTTTTTAACGTCTTCTTCTTTGTCTTGGGTGTGGGCTTGTTTGGACAAACTTCCACAAAGTGCCCCATCTCGCCGCATCCGTAGCATCCTCTCTTTCTTTGCTCATTTCTTTGATTGGTGAAAATGAGATCTTGAATTTGGATGGGCACACCCTTGACATTGAGCCTTTGGATCATCTTCTCCACCTTGTTGATTAATTTGATTGATTTTTCATCAAGGTCGGAGGTGGAGGAGGAAGATTGATCATCATCACTTGATTCTTGTTCATCATCATCATCCTCATCTTCTTCTTCTTCACTTGAGGAGCTTGAGCTTGAGCTTGACTCAACTTTCTTGCCCTTC